ACAAAAAATAAAACTGTTCATCGTGAATGTAATGGATGTAAAATTGTTTATTGCAAATCTTTGTGATACGTAGATTTGTCATTTATCAAATCTTCAGTGAAACCGTTTACATTTGCTCGTTGTGAAGGTTAAAAGTCATCTCTTATAATATTAACTAGATATCTTGACCCGCACATACGTGCGGGGTTTCATATTTTAAAAAAAATTCTAACAAATTTTCATTCAATATAGATTATTTCGTTGTTTCTATGATATATATTTTAGTGTATTAGATTTGGATTCACACCTACGTGCAGAAATATTTTTATATAAATTGTTATATAGATTTTAAAAATATAAAATATTTTGTTGTGTTAGTGAATTTTATAATAGTATAAATATTATATAATTAGAGTAATGAACGAAATTTAATTGAGTTAGTGCATAGTTATATTTTAAGATCCTGACCTACACGTACGTGCGAAATTATATTTAAGATAAAACTAAGATATAATTTAGTTGCAAAAGTTAAATGATGTTACTTTTTTTATTTTCTAAACTAATCAAAACATTTCTAATAGTTTGATTATATGTGTTAAATAGGATATAGATTCGGTTTGAGTTTGGTTATATTTCATGTATATTAGCTAGGCGTAGGTATTTTGGAACGGGAAACCTATCCCGTCATGTATATGTCATAAATTCTTAGTCCCATAACCCGTATCGTATACGTAAAATAAAAATATGACGGTCCAGTATCCGGCATAAATAGAATATGTGTAACTGAAAACTTACGTACAGTATGTAAACAAATTTATTTTATATAGTGCTCATAACCTGAACTCATACCAGTTGTGTATTTAGTTTGATTTTTTAATTTATGTTCTCCTGCTATCCCGTCTCGTAATTTCTATTCTCATTTTATTCCATTAAAATCATGTTCCAAATTCTTGTTTGCTTACTTTTTTTTTTTTTTTGATGAAATGTTAAATTAATATAGAGTATCAGAGTGGTATGACATAGTGGTGCTTCACCAAAACAGAGTTAAAAACGATTTCAAAAACAGAGCAAAACCAAGTTTGAAAAACAGAGCAACAGCCCCTATTGAGTCGTACGTGAGCTGAACCATCTTTGCATCAGCCCTCGTAAATTCTTCCTTTCAAAGTACCTCAGCGACATGATCCGAGTTTTTATTACCCTCTCAATCGTGCGAGCGAGTTGGAAATGTGTTCGGTGATGCGTATTGTGTCTCCTCTCATTTCGCTCTTTCCATACGTAATACACAGTAGCTTGGAAGCACAACCGAATGAGAATGGAATCATACCTCTCAAACGAATGTTTTACTAGCCGCTGAATTGTCTCCGTCCAGTCAGGATCTGGTGCAGTCCTTAAAAGGTCTCCTGCAACATGAATCCACACCATAAATGAATAGGGACACGCAAAAAACAGATGGTCGCGTGTTTCCTCAGGTTCGGCACAGAAAAGGCAGGCTTGGCTATCACCCCATGCTCTCATTCGTGACCCTGTGGTGAGTCTATCTCTGATTGCTAACCAGGTGATAAAAGCAAATCGAGGAACATTTTGCGGGAACCATACAACCTTACACCAATCCGTTGTTGTTCCACGGGTTCGCAGTTGCTCCCATGTAGCAGCAGCCGTGTAAATTGGCCGGAAATCATCAGGTGAGTGTCTCCAGAGAACCACATCCCTGCCCGCTTCACTTGTTGGCGCCTTGAGACCCCGTATATGTTGGATTATATCCTGTGCAGCTCTGTTCCGACACCTGCGAAATCGCCACCCCGACGCATCCACCACCTCATAAACTTTAGCGTATTTAGGGATTCCCAACTGAGCTGTTGTCCCCAAGATATCCAGCAGCCGTCCCATGGGGAGCCATTTATCAAGCCAGAAGAAAGTGGTGCTGCCATCACCGATTTCACGATGTATAAACTCAGAGGCTAATGGTCTCAACTTGAGAAGTTTCCGCCATTGCCATGAACCCAGTGAGTTTACTTTTAAATATGATACAATACATACTGTGAGTTTTGCAGATTAATATATATGTTGCTAAAGTTACGAATATATTTTATCAAATTTATTAATCTTTCTTTTCTTAGCTAAATATTGCATATTCTTCTTTTTATTGTTTAATCATAATTAATTTGATTTTTGGACTAAAAATAAAAATTTGAAATACATCTCTAAAAGGGATATGCTATTGCTGCATAATTTGTTTTGAATTCAAAATATATAATTAGTTTACATTATTTGAAAACTGTGTGCAATATATTAGGGATTTATTTAAGGAAGATCCGGTTGAAAAACAAAAAATAAATCGCAAAATAATTTAGAAATTAATATATACAATCTATTTTTTTTTGGTAATTTTTTTGTTTTGGTAATTAATATATATATACAATCTATTGTTTAGATATTTATCAAACTTGCTCTAAACGAACACTACAAAAAAACACGGCATGTGGCGTCAATTATGTATATGGTTTACGTCAGTTTTTAGTGACTTAAAAAAGCTTGCGTTAGTTATAAAACTAACGTCTCATGGGCTGACGTGAAGTTAATTAACTCTAAGTAACTGTTATTAATATCCATCCATTTTTCAATTTTACGTCATTTACATAAGTGATGTTGAATAAGTGACGTGTTCAAGCGTTTTTTTTTTAGTGGAAGGCTATAATGATAATTACTTTAAATTTATTATTATTTGAGTTTATTTCATAGTAAATATAAATAGTTGTTAATATCTAATATCTAATTTTAGAAATTGTGAAAAAAATTGTGTTTTATATTTTAAAATTTGTGAAAATATTATAACAAAATTGAATCTTAAAATATTTGTATTTAATTTTCTTATGAAATTTTAAATTCAATCTTAAAGTCCTCCATTGATAAATCTTTTAAACGATAGTGTTTTTAATTTTGAATTAAAATGATATTATTTTTCTTTTTATTTTTGATATAGAATAGTCTATTACGATTGGTTTAGATAAAATCTTAGTGAGATATCAAATCTTAGTTTTTCAATTTTCATTGGTTAAGAATTTTTTTAAAATTAATTTCAAATTTTCGTTTATAATTAATAGGAGAGAAAAAGTTAGTTTAATTTTTTGGAAATTAATAATTATTTAAAAGAATTAAACAATTTTTAATTTAAATATATTAATTTTGTGATTACTATTGTACCCTTAATGAAGTTATTTAAAAACACTAAAAACTAATGGCAATCTTTGTAATATCTTACACTTTATAAGGTTATTTAAATTAGAATGATTCTCAATTAATAGTATAGATTAGTAAAGATTATTTACAATTTAAATAAAATTAAAAAAAAAAACTAGCAAGATTCAATCTACAATCAAACTTCTAACTCTACGTTTATACTTCAAAATATGAAGTCAGCATCCGAACGAATATATATTGCTTAAATTTCATATATTTTTTGGGACGTTGAGAGCAAGAAACGGAAATGTTTGGATATCTGCACCGAAATGTTTTAGCCATTAATCTCCAAGATTTTTTTTTTTTTTGGGAATAATACTTCTCCAAGATATTTATGAAAACGCAAATGGTCATTGAATTATTTATAGCGAGTAAAACGTTATATAAAAAAACTGATTAAAACAAATATCAATATTATTAATTGGGAATCACTAGATATTAAATAACCTTATGAAAGATACAATATTACATAAGATGCCATTGGTTTTTAGTCTTTTTAAATAAATTCATTAAGGGTACAATAGATAATCACAAATAATATATTTAAATAAAATATAGTAAAATTATTTTAAGTAATTATTAGTTTCCAAAAAATTAAACTCACTTTCTCTCTCTTATTAATTATGGACGAAAATATTAAATTAATTTCAAAAAAATTATTAACCAATGAAAATTGAAAAACTAAGATTTGATATCCAACTTACATTTTATCTAAACCAATCCTAATAGATTATTGTATATCAAAAATACAAATAAAAATATCATTTTAATTCAAAATTAAAACACTATAGTTTAAAAAGTTTTATCAATGGAGGATTTTAAGATTACATGACGAGATGGGAGAGGAATATAAATTAAAAATCAAACTAAATACTCAACTGGTATGAGTTCGAGTTATGAGCACTACATAAAATAAATTTGTTTACACACATAACCCTACACGTACATTTTCAATTACACATATTCTATTTATGATGGACACAGGACCATAATATTTTTATTTCAAGTATACGAGACGGGTTAAGGGACGAAGAATTTATAACAGATACATGACGGGATAGGTTTCCCGTTCCAAAATAGTTACGCCTAGCTAATATACATGAAATAACTCAAACTAAAACCGAATCCATATCTTAATCAGTATCTACTATACATTTTTGCAGCAGTTTTTGGGGTACCCAAATCGGGTCAAAATTATGACCCGGAATTAATTGATTTCGACCCGATTAGGAGAATCTCGGATCTTGCCTAATTTGATTTTTTGCTCCGATTTTGAGTCATCAAATCTTTCCTTAGTTGCTTTGACCTACATTCATGGCAAAATGATTAAGTTTCTCAATTCAATCTCAGTTAAAGATACACGAAATATTTGCAGTTACACCAATAAAGAAGCAAACATTCATAGCATATCTATTCTTCCCTATTAAAACGCAATAGTAACTACTCCATTTATCATTTCTTTCTATCAACTGAAGCATGTATCTCCGAATGATCTTATTGAGTTGGAAAATAGTTAATAGAGAAAAGATTTCATCTATATTCTCGCGGCAATAAACCTAGCATATTCTCTTTTATTCCAATAATTAAGATCACACAATATATTTAATCCTTGATCATCAAGGATTTTTTAAGATTCGCCTAAACCTAATGGAACCTACTAATTCAAACTATATAAATAGCCGCTCATTCCCATCGTCTCTATTCACACAATCTCTCATTTCCAAATAGCAATATATCAGATAATAAAATTTTCTTTATTTACCTTCACCAATGGCTTCCCAATTTGCAATGTTAAGAGATATCAGACCATACAAGACATCTTGGCGTGTCCAGGTTAAGGTGCTCCATTCTTGGCGCCAGTATACCAACAACACAGGTGAAACCCTTGAGTTGGTCCTCGCTGATTCACAGGTAAAACAACAATATATCAGAGAGTAGCATTTTATATTTCTATACATGAGCAACATCTATAAACCTAACTCTAATTCTACTTCATTATTAAAACAGGGTGTCAAGATTCATGCTTCTGTGAAGAAGGATTTGGTTGCTAAATATGTTAACAGCCTACAAGTGAATGAGTGGAAGTTCATTGAACATTTTACACTTACTCATGCAGCAGGGCAATTCAGACCAACCGGTCATCTATACAAGATGTCCTTTGTGAATGGCACTACTGTGACACGGTCTGACATTGTCTCTGATTCAAGCTACTTAACTCTGGCAAGGTTTAGCAGAATACAGAATGGCGATTTAAATCCTTACATGTTGATTGGTATGTAATGCTCTAAAATATACATTCTCATGTCTTAAATCAATTCTGTTAATTTATGTATATACTAAATGTACTGTTGTGAACCAAATATAGATGTCATGGGTCAAGTGGTGAATATTGGTGAGCTAGAGGTCCTTGAAGCTAATAACAAGCCAACCACTAAGCTTGACTTTGAGTTGCGTGATGAACAGTGAGTGATCTGATATGGTTGTTTTATTATTAAGTAACCTGAGAATTTATAGAACGAGATTTGATATGATCTAATATTTGATTACATGTTTTCTACTGCAGTGATGATAGGATGTCATGCACACTCTGGGGGGCTTTTGCTGAAAAAATGTTTCAAGCATGCCAAGCAGCTGATGGAATCATGGTGATCTGTGTTATCAGATTTGCAAAGATTAAGGCATACAAAGGTATATTACTATTTCAACCTAAGGTTTTGTAATGAATAAAGTTTTATTTGACAATTGTTCCTGTTTTCTTTCTAGGTGTTAGGAGTCTCTCTAATTCCTTTGATGCCTCACAAGTTCACATCAATCCACCTTTCCCTGAGATTGAAGCTTTCACCAGAGCGTATAAGTTTATTTTTTAAACTACTCTAAACTTATAGTTTTATTATAACTGACTGAAAATTACATTCTTTGTTTTTTCTATTAACAGTCTCCCCTCTGATGGTCTAGCCTTAACTTTCCGTAAAAGTGTTCCTAAGTTCCAGATGGTTACAGTGAATAAGGATGATGATTGTCTTCAGTTTGAAAGGAAGACAATATCAGATCTTTTTAACTCAACAGAGGTTTGTATTTGTTTGAGTTATTCATATAGCATTGTTATCTACTTTAGTGTGTGAAATCTCATTAATTACCTATACCCTGTAGATTGGAAAGGCTAGAGTTATCTGCACAATCTATGGAATTGATACAGATTGGGCTTGGTATTACTTTAGTTGCCGTAACTGTAATAAAAAGGTCACTCACATTCATTCTGGAGTGAATACTGCTTCCATGAAGAAACAAAAGCCAAAGTTTTGGTGTGACGTCTGCAGGAATGCTGTCACTAATGTTGTAGCAAAGTGAGACTTCTTTTCTTAATCTGATAATAATGCATATTTATAAGTTTGTGTTTTTTCTTTGAAATAATTACTAATATGACTTCTCTTATTGAAGGTACATGCTATATGTTAAGGTAATGGATAACACTGGTGAAACAAAATGTCTTTTGTTTGACAGTATATGCTCAGAAATTGTTGGTGAAACTGCCGCATCATTGCTAGGTGGATCATTCAATGAGGTAACATTCTATTATGTGAATTATATATGTAATTGATATATATGAAACATTCAACTGATAAGTACTAATTTCCTTATGTAGATTGAGGACCCTAATGATTTGCCTGACGTAATAAGGAATTTGGTTGGCAAGACCTTTCTCTTTCTACTATGTGTTGAGAAAGAAAACATTTGGGATGGTAAGGATTCTTTCAAGGTTTCAAGAATCCTAAACAAAGATGGACTCTTGCAAGAAGATGTCCTTGAGGAATCTGAACAATTGGTTAATCCTGCCTCAATTGTTTCTGGAGATCAGGTAACATTTTTTAACTATCTAATCTCCTTAAAATTATATCAACTATCTCTCCTACTGATAATCTCTATATTCAGTGTCTCATGTTAACAATGAGTCAAGACACGTCTGACTCATCTACTCCATCTTCCAAGCGTGTTTATGCTCCTAATCTGTCTGAGTCAGAGCAATCCTCCAGTTCTAAGAAGGTGTGCATCGAGCCTAAAGACTTACAGAAGTCAGAACTAGAATTTGAGGAGAATGGTCTGTCTCAAAATGGAGTTCCTGACAAGATCTCTGAAGTTGTGAAGGTAGAGAATGTCAAGATTGAAAGCAACAAAGGAAATGGTGTTCAAGACAGTGGTGATCTTCCTGTGACTGATAAGAAGGAGACTAGGCATGTGGCTAAAGCAGTTGGAATGAAGATCAAAAAAGAGAAATAGTGATCTAGCACCTGTTTGCTAAGCAATAAGGAATTATCATAATTCCAAGTTTTTAAAAATTTCATTGTTAGACATTTGTTGGTTTTTTACTTTGGTTTTTAATTGATGTTTCAGTTTGATTTTTTGGTTAATCTCCTCTAATAAACCTGATTCAATTTCTGTCTACTGTACCGTTGTCTTACTCAGTTATTGAAATATAATCATTAGACCTCAAAACCTAAAGCAGAACCGCTATAACATCCTTATGTTTGCTACACGAAATCTCTATTATAAACAATGATGGAAATTCTTGGAAATCGTAATATGGAAAGCACAGTTTTATATAATCATTACTATAATATTGAATAAAGATCTTTTACAGGCTAACGATTCAGTTTCCTTGATATATTATATCTAACTTTACTTATCTCAAACGGTTTCAATGATTTACAATATATAATATCTATTTTATATAGGAAATTGAATCTATTCATTGACATCTCTACACGATTCTATAAATACTCAGACTTAACCTTTAGTTTTATTCAGAAACCTAACCTTCTCTATAAAAAAAAACAGAGAAAAACTTACACTTTCTGTGATTCTAATGGGTACTATTGACTACATTTCCGATCTCAACCTGCAAAGACCTAGATGGACTTTGTACGTGAAGATTTTATCTATCTGGAATCAAGGTATAGACGCTATTGATGAACCTACGATTATGATTCTGACTGATGAAAAGGTTAGAAAATTTCTTCTATTGAACCTCTGTTTCTTAAGTCACAGATTTACTAATTTGTTTGAATCTTCACAGAGAAAACTTACTATTTAGTTCTTCTTATATGCCTAGGCCAATCAGATTGATGCATTTATCCCTCCTGGAAACTACTTATACAATTTCCGGCCAGGTCTCAAGGAGGGTCACTGGTACTACATGGCTGACTTCCATGTGGTACCATCTACTAAACCTGTTAAGTACTCCTGGAATCGTTTTGCACTAGAGTGTATATGGCCTACCACTATGTGGCCTGTGTCTCCTAGATGTAATGGAAATTTCTGGAACTTCATTCATTCTGATGAAGTTGAGTATGCTGGATTAGAGGATAAGCAACATGTGTCAGGTTCAAGTATATTTATTTCTTGATTGAAAATTAGTAAAACTTTGCTTTATTCTGACTTTAGTTAAGTATATTTGAAATTTGTTTTCAGATGCTATTGGTGTGGTCTCGAGTGTCTCTGCTATTCAAAGATTTCCATTTGTTTGTCGTCAAGGAGAGACAGACTATGAAGCCAGATTTGTTGTTGTCGAAATCAAGGATGACATGTAAGTTTTATTTTAATAGATATCTCAAATTAGTATCTGTATTGGCGATGTGGTATTGAATGCATTGAATCTGTGATCATGTAGGGGTAGGAAAACAATCTGTGTTGCAAAGGGTAGGTCCTGTCAGGCGTTTGTGACTAAATGGTTTAGGAAAATAACTTCTGTGACATACAATTATGACCCAGTTGTCATTGTCCTGCGTTTTTGGAGGGTTGCTGAGTTTGAAGGTTAGTTATTTCCTCTAAACTATATATAACTGTCAAATACATTAGACAATAACTCTAACTGGTAACTATTAACATGTTTTAATAGGTCAAAACTGTTTGATGAGTGAGTATGGTTGTTCAAGGCTTTTTCTTGATCCAACCTTTCCTGATTTGGACATTCCGAGATACATGTAAGTTGTTACCTATCAGAAGTTAAATAAGTAATCAAATGCTATGATTACTGATTGGATTAAGTAATGTTTCTCTTTTTTGAAACAGCCGTGGCTTTGCAGAACAACAAGATGATGTTCAGGATGTTGGAATGAAGTTGGAAGTGTGATGATGGGAAGCTAAGTTTGGTTCTACCAGTGGCTGCGGTTGTTTTATTATTACAAAAATACTTTCTCGGTTCTCTATTGTTTTATGTTTATGAAGACAAGTTTGTTTTAAGTTTCTTTTGACTATCAACTGCTTTATCCTTTATTTGAATTTAATGTTTATCTAATTAATCTACTCTAATGGTTATTTGTTTTATAGTAAGTTTTAGTATATGATCAATAAAATATATAATTACTGTATCAAAGTAATAATTTCATTAGATAAATTAACAAGTTTTGAGATATTTGCTAAACTATCAGTTTTGTTCAGTTTACCTTATTTGAATAGTCCATCTTCCTTATGTGCTATTGTTTGTGAATAGCAAGAATATTTCATTGCTATCTTTCCTGATACAAAAAATATAGTTAGTAATCTTATAATTACAACAATAATCACTATAATCACGGAATCAATCTTATAGTTTGGTATATTCCGCATATTATCTAAAGGTTCTCATTCATTACTTATAGAAAATAACATATCTTAGTTCCTATATCTTTGGCAACAGACAATCATTTAACAATAATAGTCAATCTACAGATATCAAAATGCTTTCTATTTAGACCTTAATCTCCTTTATATAGTTACCAAGTAGTCTAATCATCTATAGACATTCTTAGACTAAAATATGAAAAAAAAACCTCTATCTCCAACAGAAAATAATGTTCCTGAGTCTAATCCACCAAAACGTAATCGAGGAAATGAGCCTTACACTAGACTAAGGAACATTTCTCAGTTTAATCGAGAAATTATCAGGAATGGTTCTGTCCCTCTTAGTACAGCGTTTGGTAGTGCTTTTAGAGATATTACTAACCTTCCAGACCCACAAGTTAGCCCCATTGAGAACTCTGCAGATGCTAATACATCTTCATCTGCAAAACAGAACAGTAAGAATCAAGGTTAGTTTCTATAGACAAGTTTTCATTTACAATTATTTTGTTTTCATTCTCATCAAAGATAAATAAAAAATACCTTTATCTCTAAATCTTGATGAGTTTTAAAACAGGTTCACTTCGTGGAAAAATGTCCAAACCTTGCTCTCCTTACACCAGACCTAACCCATTGTTAACTCCATCTGGATTAAGCGCCATGACTAATACAAGCCAGAGTCTTTTTAGCAGAACACCTACAACTCCAATAATGCCTCCACCTTCTGTAACACCAAAGAGAATAGGTGGTTAGATTAATTAAATTCCACATATGAATAATTTTTACAACAATTATGGTATGATAATGTTTTAAATAGAGAAGTATATTGTATAAGTAATAAGTTTAATATCTGTTGTAGGTGTTCAATACACTGGAAATCCATCATGTATAACCAACCTCCAGACATCAAGCTTTGTTTCTCATAGAATAAATTTGCCAAGGAAAAACTTAGATATTGATTTTACAAATGCAGATACCTCTTCTTCATCTAAAGGTAACAGTCTTTACTGTATTGTTTTTCGCTTGGAAACAAAATGTAATTAAGAGGCATGTCTTAACCTATTTTCCTGTTTTGTATTCTCAAGGTCAGAATACAACTCAAGTAATAGATAATGAAGATAGTGATTATAGCCAAGATGATGAAATGTATGATGATCCTGAGTTTGGTAATGTCAGTGAAGATGAGACACTAGCTCAAAGCTATGATCTTAGTTGCAGTGAAGGTGAAGATGAAGTAGTCGATAACAATGAAATGTCAGTTTCTGACGAGGAACAGATTGAAATGATGTCACACATAACTGAAGTCTCATCTCATACCAATGATTTGGCAAGATCATCTATTGAGTTTGTTCAGCAAGAAACACAT